TTTTTACACATAAAATGCAACTTCACACATATGTTGTCAAGTCATATCACAAAGATGCAGTTATGATTACATCGTTCGTTTGACATTTGTGCATTTTCAAGGTTAGGTTTTCTATTAAAACGCCCGACTGCACATCAACCACATAGGATTTTGACAGTTTTTAGTACCACTTTATATGAAAACGTAAGACTACATAACATAGCCTTGCCATAACATTGATAAATTTTACGACATAATCGACCCCTTCAGTTGTGTATTCATATATCATTACAAATTTTGTATTTAATATAGTGTAGTGTCAAGGGTTCGTCGTAGCGAAGGTCGTTAACGCGTTGTATGGACAGGGTCGCGCGTTCGATCCCCCGCTCTGGCAATCTGACATCGGGCAGCGCGATGTCCATTTTCAATTGAAAATATAGATCAAAATATATTTTCAATTGAAAATAAGCGCATCTCGGGCACTGCGGTGTGAAATGGCAATGGGAAATCTCTCACCTATTTTTCCTTGAATCGAGTTGGAGTTTTAACTCAGCTCACGGACCTGCCCTAGGGCAGTACACGCATTATTTATTTAATATTGTACATAAATTAATTTAAATTTATATTTTATATTACAAAAATTTCTAATATCACCCTCACTAATTCGACAGTCTCTAACCAAAATCATTTGTATTTTTTCAAAGTTGTGAAGGAGTCGCCGGAAATTCTATATTAGCGCTGAAAACTAGTATTTTAATTCACATATCTCACACCTAGATCAGAACATATCAATTATAAATATATAATATAAACAGATTCCTAACAGAGTTAAAAAAAACATTCATTTTCAGACAAAATATATGTATATAGATGCATCGTAGATAAAAGATACCTATAGTAATCGACAAATAATAAAAAGAACACATGGGTATATCATTAATACATACATTTAATTTTCTTTAAAACCAGGATTTACTTTTTAAATTTTTTAACTAAATATAAGTGAAAAAGAGAAGTTTGTATTTTTGATAGAAAATCCGACTTGCTAATTTTTATGGCCATGTTTTAAGTCATTCTAAATCTATTGAGACTGGAAACTTGAAATTGGAAAACATATGTGTCTATGTGGGCCAAAATTTGATTTTTGTCAGCCTTTTCTCAAAAATGGCTAAACCGATTTCAGAAATTTAAAAGCCATTTTGATGAAATTAGATTATTACACTCGTTGATTAATCTTACAAGACAATTTTATATTCTAGATAGAAAATATAATATTTTGCTCAAGCAAAAAAATTGCACAAATTATTGTGTTTATAAAAAATAATTTGCATTTTGTATTAATTTCTTGTAAAATTTGATCAATAATGAGGTGAAAAGCTATATACATCTGAATAATTTAAATTTTGATTTAAAATTGCATTAAGATAATTTTTTTTTTAATATTGATCAGTTTGCATTTTCGTACATCTCTATAAAAATCTCATAATAATTTGAAAGAAATTTAAAAATATTTCAGGACTGCTAGTATTACAATTGACTAAATCAGATCTTCTTGTAAATTATTTATTAATTATTTAGCTTTTTTTTTGAAATATCTTAAAAATCCGATTATCAATTATTAGAGAAAATTTAAAAATATCTCAAAACCGTTATAGTGTTATAAATAACTAAGGCCAAGGAATATTTCCAAAAATTGCAAAAAAACTACAATAATTTTGTTCACATTTTTACAAAAATGGTGAACCGATTCAAAACCTTTTAGAAATTCCAAATTGGGCTAGTTTGGGGTAAAGATTTGCCCATCTTCTTTAATTGCTAAAAATTTTTTCAACCTTTCTAATGGAACTTAGCAGTGTCCGAAGATTAGTTTTACAGGAAATTACATTTATTTATCTACAAATGATGTCGTTGTTGCTTAATAACAGTGTGTACATAGCGCGTAATTTGAATCAGTAACCTTCTGATTCCTAAGCCGAGTATAAAACTCCCTTAAAAAAAACTTTATAGTTCAAAATTTTGGATAATTGTTATGATGGTAATATTTATGAATTGATATCTTTAATAGAATATAAGTATTATTTTAAAATATACTAATTTATTCAAGGAGCACAAAAAAGTTTGGTAAGTATCAAAATTTTTGGACATTTTTGAAATTTATATTTAAAAGATATATTATTTTCATATCTCAGTGAGACAAGAAAGCCTGGTATAGGAGATTATGAAACAATTAAACAATTTTAATAATTAATGCAAAAATTTATATAACTATACTTTCCACAAGTGAATCTCAAAGACCTTCTCATTGTCCATTACATTTCTCACAGTCATCTATCACATCTCTAGGATCTAGGATACACAAATTTGAATCGTATATCGATACATATTCGTATGTGACAAATTACGTGTTCTTGACACTTGTGCCTTTGTCATTGTCCGAATCCAAAAGGATCCTTTTTTTTGAAAAT